TTTTTTTTTTCTTTTTGGTTGGGAAGAGAATTTAAGTTGTTAGAAGTTTAGCTAACAATAATTGCTTCTTTTTTCAAAGAAAAAGCAGAAAGGAAAAGACATTGTTTGTATAATTATTAGATTGTGAATCTGTCACACATAAATGAGTCCAGTGATGTATCCTATCTTCGAATCTACCGTTGCAGGTCAATATAATAATTGAGTGAATTATAACATATCATTATTTCTTTTTCATTCATTTCTATTGTTGTATTATGTTGTGATTGTCAAATGGTAGATATATTTTTTATTATTTTAAAAATATATAAAATATTAATTTAATTTTAATAAAAATTATATATTTATATTTTTAAATAAAATATTGTGTAAAAAAGTATGAGAATTATTGTTAAATGAAATCTTAAGTTTCTTAAAAAAAAAAAAAAATCCCAACTACTTATGAGGATAAGTGGAAAAACCGAAAAAGCCACAGCTCTCCATGGATGGCATCAAGATATGTGATAATGTTCAAAGTTCAAACCAACACGTTGCCTCGAATCAAATTCTTCCTCTCCCCTTCTCTCACAATTTCGTTCAAAGGAAAAAAAATGGAAAGACAAAAACGCAAACAAACTCTTTTCCTTGGGCCAGCAAAATTCAGATTCATTTTATTGAAGTTCTAAAATTGATTGGTGCTACTTACTAACACTCTAATGTTGGCCCGCCTGACTTTTTCATTTTGGGCCTTTTTTGCACAAAAAGGAAATAATAACTATAAAAGCAAATTTCAAAAACTTGGGCCGAGTGGACGCCCATTTCGAAATTAGAAATATTACCCTTCTATTTTTTTTTTCTTTAATTTTCAGGACGAATTAATTTTGGACTCGGCTGAACTCCAACATTTTTTTTTTTTACTGAATTTTGAATGGGTCCAACCGAGCTCAAATACGAAACGGAAGAGTGGCGTTGAAGGGAAGGATGCAATGGAAGAAGTATTCTTTTATTTTCTTGCTCTTTTTTTTTTTTTATTTGAATAAAAAAAATAAAGTTAATGTAAATGACTTTACTCTCCTTTTCTTTTCTGTTCATAAGAATTTTTTCTCTCCTGCTCCCTCAAATCATTTAAAGTGAAGGGAAAATGTTATGGAAATCAGCCTCATAGAACATAGCCACATAGAAATGTTTTTTTAGTATAGATTATTTTATTATATTATTAAAATTATTAAAATATTTTTAATAAAATTAGGTATGACCTGACAGATAAGTAGTGAATACAATACGTGGCGTCCTCTTTTTTAAAACTGTAATTACGCGCTGGTAGTAACGGCGTCTTTCACCGTAGTTGGTGGGAATTGAGAAAACAGAAAAGTACGCAGTAACGGCGTTGAAATAATTAAATATAATACCAAACGATTTATTAATTTAAATAAAAAAAACTTAATTTTTATTTATTAAATAAATTTTAAATTAAAATTTAATAAATTAATTAATAATTATTAAAAAAAATTTATTATAATACGACGGATTTAATTCTAAATTAATTAAAATCCTACGTGTGAGTAATAGGTAACTAAAGAACAAGGTTAATAAAAAAATTAATTAAATATTACACAGCACATCTGTTCCACTACATATTCTTTCTAATTAAAAATCCCTAGCTTAGAAGCCAACACTGATTCAACTATTCTGGATCACTACACATCATTACGCTAAATCAGGGAAAATAACAAGGAAAACTCTGTATAAATCGACGCCAAATCATAGCACAGTGAAAATGGCAATGGTGGGTTTGTACAGGCGAGTTCTTCCTTCTCCTCCTGCCATCGATTTCGCTTCCTCTGAAGGAAAGGTGAGTGCTTTCAGCTATTTTATCTTGTTTTTTTTCTCATTTTCGGGTGAATAAGTGCGGGATTTAGGGTTTTGTTTTTGTTAGTTCTTCATGATCTTGAAGAAACACATGCAATCAACTGAAATCTAGCTCGTGGGTCTTTTTTTTTTTTAAAAAAAAGGAAAAACAGACAATGGGAATTCCTTAATTTTATTTATTTATTTATTTATTTTTGGTTAAGTTTGAAAGTTCAGTGCTTTTGGGTCATTCTTATAATTGTGATCAGCATTTGAAGTGTTTTTTTCTGTTTTGTAAATGCAGAAACTCTTTATTGAAGCAATTCAAAGTGGAACTATGGAAGGGTTTTATAGGCTGATATCTTACTTTCAGACACAATCGGAGCCTGCATATTGTGGACTGGCCACCCTTTCCATGGTCTTGAATGCCCTTTCTATTGATCCTGGGAGAAAATGGAAAGGTAAATTCTACAATGTACTTGTTTGAGAAAAAATGAAGTGAATATCAGCAGCTATATGCATGTATTAGAAATTAGAAAAGCATGTTTGTATAGAGTGTAGAGACCTTGGAAGAGGAGGAGATAATGGTACTTTTAGTGGAGTTATAGAATTTCAAAAAACAACAATGTTTACGTTAGGCTTCATACTATTAATATTCTGTATAAAAATGATGTTTTATGAAGTTGAGTTTTAGCTAGTTAAAAGAAATAGTTTTTGTGGTATTGTCTAACTGATTAATCTACTACTGCACCATGATTTTGACATTTATGAAAATAATCAATCTTGCTTTGCTCACTGATTTGGTGCTGGCTTTGGAACTTATTTTAATGACATCTAACTTTTGAAATAAATCAGTTCCGTGTATACCTTAATAGCATTAAAGATTGCCAAAGTCACTTTTCTGATTGCATTTATTCTCTAATTAGTATGATTCTGGTATTGGCATGCATGGCCATGCTGTTCCATCTTGGCTGAGAAAGTGGGCATTGTAGACTTCTGAGCATGTCTTTGTGGTAGGCCCTTGTGCTAGGAGTCACGTTTCTTATCTTCTGCTCATATATTTCCTTTTTCTTCTAATTTGATGCAGGACTAACCAAATTTATTCAGTTTTTTCATTTTGCATAGCTAGAAATAGGCTGAGGATTATGCTTTTCTTTTCTAGGGCCTTGGAGGTGGTTTGATGAATCTATGCTAGACTGTTGCGAGCCTTTGGAAAAGGTGAAAGAAAAGGGCATATCGTTTGGAAAGCTTGTGTGTTTGGCTCACTGTGCTGGTGCAAAGGTTGAAGCTTTCCGCACAAATCAAAGCACCATAGATGATTTCCGTAAGTATGTTGTGAGATGTTCCACTTCTGATGATTGTCATGTGATCTCTTCATATCACAGGGGAGCTTTTAAACAGGTAAGAATCATTTGGAATTCTTGGAAGTTTCCCAAGTTCTTTATTTTGGCTTAATGTTATTTAATGGATAGGTTATTGGGCTTAGAGCCTGTTACACAGTAATTTCATCATTATCTATCTGATTGGGTGATTGGTAGCCACTGTGAGGTTGATCATTAATGTTTAAAACTCATGAGAGAAATACAACCTGAAGCTTGACTATCCATAATCACACCATTTGGCATTAGTAATTTAATACTTATTATTTCCATCATCCCTCTAAACTTTTCAAATTCCATTCTGTACAGCAAATCCTTTGATAAGTTATTATTTTGCAGCAAGATGGTTTCTAAGTAGATTCCCAAAATCTTTTGCTTTGTTATGCCCATTTTTATGTAATCTTGCTTTAGTGAATGCTCACTATCTAAATGTTTTTGTGTACTATTTTATTTATTGATTGAAAAAAGGTATATATCAAAATACTGGTGTTTCTGGCATCTCTTCTACATGTTTTAACTAGTCTTCTATATGTTGCAGACTGGCTCAGGCCATTTTTCACCCATTGGTGGTTATCATGCTGAGAAGGACATGGCACTAATCTTAGACGTTGCACGTTTTAAGTATCCTCCTCATTGGGTTCCACTGACGCTTCTTTGGGAAGCCATGGATAATGTTGATGGAACAACTGGACAGCACAGAGGGTATGCATATTCCTATCTGCTTTTGTCTTTTAAATTGTCATCACTCTTGTTCCCTTTGAATATGGTCATCCATCTGGTTAAGTATGTTAATGAATCAAGTATATCATTGTCTATGAAGCATGGAATATTGATACAGTTATTTGATGGAAATAAAATTGTAAAAGTACTCATAACTAAATATACCTTTTCTGGAAAACAGTTTAGAAGTATCATAGTCATGGTGTCAACTTCTATCAGCCAAATAAGATGCCAGCTATTATTATTGTTGTTATTATTTTTACACAAGAAAGTGCTCACTGTTGTTTCTCATTGTGCATTTGACCCATGATTTTATATTTTTCAGGTTCATGCTAATTTCCAGGCCTCACAGAGAGCCAGGACTGCTTTACACCCTGGTATATATTATTGATATCTTGATATTAAATGCTCAATGTGAACACACTGTTAATTTGTAATTCTTAATAATTTTCCATTTTTCTTGGATTTCAATTTTCCCCCTTCTTTTGACTCCTTTTGAAACTATTTTTATGAGTTGGGGAAGGATAAAAGAAGACAACCTTCTCAGAGCATCTGAGTTTGTTAGTATTAGAGTTTAGATATCTCTATTATATCAAAGTTGATAGGTATTAAGTGGTTTGCATAGATAGGAGGAATTCATGTTAAATTTGTCAGAAAACCATCTGATGTTTCTTTCTCTCTAGGTTTTTTGAGGATTTGCTGGGTGAAAGTATTATTATAAGAAAATTTATGTCATTTTGTGTTTAAATTCGGTATATAGGGTAGGTCATTTTTTATTGTGGAAAATGGAAAGATAGAGCTACTTGGTTTATTTAGATTTCAGTTTGACAAAACTACTTGTCTTTTGGATTCACATACTAACACAAGGTTACCTTCCTCTCTCTCTCTCTCTCACACCTGGCTTGGTGCACCATGCACCTTGAAGTTTAAAATGGAGCCTGTTTTGCTTTTACTAATAAAGAACTTCACATTTGTACTTTATTCAGAGCTGTAAACATGAGAGTTGGGTAGGAATTGCAAAGTATTTAATGGATGACGTTCCACTTCTTATGAAGTCAGAGGATGTGAAAGATGTTAAGAAAGTTGTGTCGGTTGTTTTCACTTCACTCCCATCAAATTTTGGGGAGTTCATTAAGTGGATTGCAGAAGTTCGGAGAAGAGAGGATGGTAATCAAAACCTTAGCCCAGAGGAGAATGGGAGACTTGCTCTTAAGGTGATGTATGGCTCAACCCTCCATTTTTGTTTTATATTCTTCCTCCTATTCATGAGATGAGATGCTAATTTTACACAAATCTTTCTTTTCCAGGAAGAGGTGTTGAAACAAGTCCAGGAAACTGCCCTTTTCAAACACGTTGCTGCCTTTCTGTCTACAGTGAATTCTTGTTGCAGAAACACACTAGGATTAAGTATTGAAAGTAATCTGCCTGACATTGTTGCAAGAGTCTGCTGCCAAGGGGCAGAAATTTTGGATGGCAAGTCTGGCTCCTTGGAGGGGTATTGCTGCCAAGAAACCTGTGTTAAATGCTTGAAGGCTAATGGTGACAAGCCAGTAACACTGGTGTCGGGAACAGTGGTTAATGGCAATAGTGAGCAGGGGATTGATGTGCTTGTTCCTTCATGCCAAACCTGCCAAACCTGCTGTGGCTCTACCCCAAATAATTGTGTTGCAATTTATCCTGCTGGCAACGATGTTCTAACTGCACTTCTGCTGGCCTTGCCTCCAGAAACTTGGTATGGTATCAAAGATGAGAAGCTTTTGAAAGAGATGCATACCCTTGTCGACACCAAAAATCTACCCACTTTGCTTCAGGAAGAGGTAATAACAACATACTGGTATATTCTTTTTCATTCATCTTCTTTCCAACTAATGTCAAATTGATTTAAATGGTAGTATAACTTGTCCAGTGAGGATTACGATAGATAACTGTCAACAGAAGAAGCATCTTGATAAATTGAGTCGTACATTTTTTATTCTTAGTCATAAACAATACTTTATTTTTGGGCTCTGAAAATTTCCCTTCATGGATTTCTGACCATCAAAATATATATTGGCATGACAGGTTTTACACCTTCGACGACAGCTACACCTTCTGAAGAAATGCCAAGAGAATAAGGTAGATGAGGATCTTGCTGCACCTTTGTTCTAGGCTTCTAGCACAAGCTCATCCGTCAACCCAACACTTCTCTTCCCCTTACCTTTGCCCTTCTGAAGGAAATGCCAAGTCGCATGGTTGAAACTCAGTAGAATAGTCACATTTGTCGTGGGCATATTAAAGTTCAGCTAAGCATCGTAAATATTTATTTGTCATTACAATTTCGTTTTGGCAGAATCATAACTTTTAAGCCAGTAAGCCTAGACCAAACCGAACCTTGAATTGCGGACCTCGTCGAGCATCTTCCGCCGCTACTCCATGTTGGAGTGGAAGTTCATCAAGTACAGCTACAGAATAGTATTACAGTATAGGGACCACTGAACGGCTCTCTGTGGCCAACCCAAGGGAACGGAGGGGACCCCTCAACTTGTTTCTCATACTGTGCAGTAAGTTGAGAAACATGAAGAATTGCCTTCCCTGTGACGTGTGTATAGTGTCCTCCAAAAGAGTAAATGGCAAGCAGAAGCATCTGGCGCTCAAATTGTTCAGTCCATTCTCCAACATTGTGTTGGACCATATGATAGCAACAAATCCATTTCCCCTCCCCAAATTAGAGAGTCAACTCCATCAGGAACTGACCCTTTTAGCTTTTCTATCAAAGGTGATCTGAAACCCAGAAGCTATTTCAAAGTTTCAAAAGCTTAATCTCCCCTTTAATTTGTTTGTTCGTATTTAACCTGAAACCATTCTAGGAATCAAGAATATAAGAAAAGACGTAACAATTTTTTTCAAAAAAAATTCAATATGTTTCTTAATTCTGTTAAATTGACTTTTATTAGGTAGGCTTTTTATTTTTATTAGAAAAAAAAAAAGCTTGCGAATTTTTAGGATTTCTTAGCAGTCCTGACACTATCCCAACCCTCCCTATAATGTGGGTCTCATTCCTGAAAAACACTTTCCTATTCAAAAAAACGACTTTATCAACTATAACATGGACAAGATTAAGACTATTGTGATCATTGTGGATCCCACACCAAGATTTTTTAACATTTTTTTGTTTTTTATCTATGTCATTGATCACGAAACAATTTTTGTTTTTTTAACAAATCAGCACTT